CGTACGTCGCGCGGCCTGGGCCACTAAACCAGGTCTAAAAACAGGACTAAAACAGGATTTAACCATGCCGCCGGACCGCCCACCGCACCTCTTCTCATAGGCAGCCTAATTCTTTTCACTTTTCTGTGTTTGGTAGAGTTTAAGAAAGCAAAGGTTCCCATCCTGCGGGACGTGCGGGCGGGCGTGGGACAAAATATCGCAGATGCGGGTGGAGGCGGGGCTGAAAACTACAATTCTTTGCGGGAGCGGGCGGGCGCGGGACTCCACAGTGCAGGAGCGGGACTGAAAATTCTGTCCCTCGCAGACCTCTAGTGCACGCAGCGCCCGCAAACGCAGCGCCCGCAAACGCAGCGCCCGCAAACGCAGCGCCCGCAAACGCATTCCTGCAAATGGGGCGCCCTGCCAACACCATGCCCCAAACGCTGCACCCACAAATGCCACGCTCACAAACAGAAAGATGACATAGTGCGCCTTTTAATCTTCTTTGTGCCCCCTGTTGGCAAACCATGAAAAATGCCCATGTCAGTATATGTTTTTGCTTCCAGTCGTTCATCGAATTGAATACCAAAATTTGGTATAAATCTGATAATGTTGACGTTTCATGTCTGTGGTAGGGGGCACTATAGTGTTCACTTTTCATATGTTTTATAGTGTATTATATTCAGGCAGAGATCACGCATTAGTGATTCAAATTTCAGCACGATGAGACTAAGCATGTTGGCCAGCAGGGGCACAAACACTCCTCCAAAAAATATTAAAAAATTATATTACACGCACATGCTTAGTCTAATTGTGCTGAAATTTGAATCACTAATGTGTGATCTCAGCCTGTATATAATACACTATAAAACATATGAAACGTGAACACTATAGGGCCCCCTAGCGTAGACATGAAACGTCAACATTATCGGATTTGTACCAAATTTGGGAATTCAGTTCCATTAATGACTAGAAGCAAAAACATATTACTGACATGGGCATTTTTCATGGTTGGCCAGCAGGGGGCGCAGAGAACATTTAAAGGCGTGCTATGTCATTTTAAAGTTTGCGGGTACGGCGTTTGCATGTGCGGCATTTGCGGGTGCGGCGTTTTAAGGGCACGGTGTTTGAGGGCGCGGCGTTTGCGGGCGCAGCGTTTGCAGGGCAGGCGTGTGCCACGGGCGAGGGCCGTTCGATGCCGCTTGCAGCTTTAATTAGGCCTGAGCCCCGACAGGGCGTAGGGCCTATTGCTTTCACTATGAGGAGCGAATAGGGAACAACGAGCGCATGGGTGAATGCGACAGGACGACATGCAACATTGTCCTCGGTCACCCTCGGCATGAACAGCAGTATCCCAGTAACCCACACCCAAGGCCTGAGCCATATTTACTACTGCTAAAATGAATGGAAGTCAATGGGAGGTCAGGGGACAACTCCGACGAGATGGCGAATGACGAGCGCGTCAGTGCCCGTCACTCACCAATGACCCCACGGTGACATGGGGAAGGTCGAGAGCTTTGAAAAAACGTATAATATGTTGTTCTAATGTTTTCGGATATATTGTTTTTGCTAAATATATTATTATTTTTAAATTAAATTATTATTATTATGCTCTTTGAGCTCTAATTTGACCCCCTAAACACGTTCAAAAACTCACCAAACTTGGCACAATATTTAGAAGTGGTGAAAAATTCGATAAAATATAGGTTTCGTGTAGGGGCATAAAAAAATGGTGACACAGCACCACCTGGAAAACTCAAAAATTTTGCGCATATGGGAGACGTCCTGGTCAACTTTGTCGTAGAACCACGAAATTCAATACACACATTTGTCTTGTGAAGACAAACAAAAAATATTATTATGGCCACACCCCTTGACAAATCAGAAGGCGGCCATCTTGGATTGAAATTTGAGTCTGCATTTTCGTTTACGTGTTTGAACGCAGTCCTCTGAAGGCGCTTCACCCACAGGGCTGAAAATCACTGTACATCATCAAGAGAAGTGGAACATCTAAAGCAGGCATGTCCAAACTACGGCCCGTGGGCCAAATGCGACCCTGGGACAAATTTTTCTTGGCCCTCAGGCTTCCGGGTGAATTGGCCCAAATGACCTTGCATCAATTAAAAATGTACTTTTCACTGCAAGCTTTTTGAAAATCTACTTTGATAAAGCTAATATTGAATATTTAGTGTTTGGTTTTAAGGATGTCAGGATGAATAAAGACTGATGACTTATTCTATAACGTGTTAAACATGCACATATTTCAATTATTCACTGTATTGAGCACCAGTCTACGGCCCTCGATCGGCCCTCTGCTTCATCTATGTTTAGATATGTGGCCCTTGATGAAAAACATTTGGACACCTCTGATCTAAAGTTATCCAATTAATTTTGTTACCCGTAACGGTTTACATGTGGCAAAGCCGCAAAGTTCGATCAAAATTTTGACTAATTTCAAGATGACATTATTTGCTCCTGTTCGCACAGACTTAGTCCGATCGTGCTGAAATTTGAATCACTAATGCGTGATCTCAGTCTGAATATAATACACTATAAAATATATGAAAAGTGAACACTATAGTGCCCCCTAGCATAGACATGAAATGTCAGCATTGTCAAATCTGCACCAAATTTGGGAATTAAATTCTATGCATCATTATGAGCAAAAAAATATATTATGGACATGGGGAATTTTTCACTGTTGGCCAGCAGGGGTGTAAAGACTCCCCCCAAAAATATAAAAAAAAAGTATTACATGCACATGTTTAGTCCGATTGTGCTGAAATTTGAGGCACTAATGCATGATCTCAACTTGAATATAATACACTATAAAACATATGAAAAGTGAACACTATAGCGCCCCCTACCATAGACATGAAACGTCAACATTATCGGATTGTACCAAATTTGGGAATTAAATTATATGCATGATTACGAGAAAAAATTATATTATGAACATGGGGAATTTTTCACTGTTGGCCAGCAGGGGACGCAAAGACTCCTAAAAAAAAATACAGTTAAAGGTGCACTATGTAATTTTTCAGGTAGAGGATGTTTTGGCGCACAAAGTTAGAAAAATGGCAGGATTACATTTGTAGTTATGGTTAGGGTAATGGTTTGGGTTTCGGTTCGGGCTATACGAATACGGTTAGGTTTAACATTAGGGTTATGTTTAGGGTTAGGCCTTGTGTTAGGGTTGAGGCTAGGAGTTAGACTTGTGGTTGGGATTTATGGTTATTAGGGTTAGTGTGGGGCATGGCCTTTGCAGGGCACAGGGTTTACGGGGCGCAGTGCATGCGATGGGCGAGGGCCGTTCGACGCCACTTGCGGCTTTAATTATTATATTATTCTTCTGCTCTTTGAGCTCTAATTTGACCCCCTAAACACGTTCAAAAACTCACCAAACTTGTCACAATATTCAGAAGTGGCGAAAAATTCAATAAAATATAGGTTTCGTGCATGGGCATTAAAAAATGGCGACACAGTGCCACGTGGAAAACTCAAAAATTTTGCACCTATGGGAGACGTCGTGGTCAACTTTGTCGTACAGCCACGAAATTCGATACACACATTCATCATGTCAAGACAAAAAAAATATTATTATGGCCATGCCCCCTGACACACCAGAAGGTGGCCATCTTGGATGGATTTACGTACGGCGAGGCTGCACATTTCTAATGCATGATCTCAGCCTGAATATAATACACTATAAAACATATGAAAAGTGAACACTATAGCGCCCCCTACCATCGACATGAAACGTCAACATTATCAGATCTGTGTCAAATTTGGGAATTAAATTCTATGCATGACTATGAGCAAAAAGTATATATTATGGACATGGGGAATTTTTCACTGTTGGCCAGCAGGGGCGCAAAGTCTCCCCCCAAAAATAAAAAAATATATATATATATTACATGCACATGCTTAGTCCCATCGTGCTGAAATTTGAATCACTAATGCATGATCTCAGCCTGAATATAATACACTATAAAACATATTAAAAGTGAACACTATAGCGCCCCCTAGCATATACATGAAACGTCAACATTATCAAATTTGGACAAAATTTGGGAATTACATTCTATGAACAACTAGAAGCAGAAATATATATTACTGACATGGCCATTTTTCATGGTTCGTCAGCAGGGGGCGCAAAGAACAATTAAAAGTGCACTATCCATCTTTCCATTTGTGGGTGTGATGTTTGCGGGCGTGGCATTTGTGGGAGCGGCGCTCCTGGGCGTGGCATTGGTGGTGCAAATCATTGGCAGGCGCACCATTTACAGGCATGACATTTGCACTCGTGGCGTTTGCGGGCACAGTGTATGCGGGTGCAGTGTTTGTGGATGCGGCATTTGCAGGCGCGGCGTTTGCGAGCGTGGAGTTTGTGGGTGCAGTGTTTGCGGGCGCACAGTTTGCGGGCGTGGTGTGCACTGGGCAAGGTCCGTTCGATGCTGCTTGCGGCTTTAATTTTTATTTATTATTGCTTTTCTCAGATTCAAGTTTTAGTGACCATTGTTGATTTTTCTTTCATTATTAGAGGGGTACCAACAATCTTGTCCACGACTGTAAATGGACATACCTTGCCGTGTTCCAAATAGGAATTTCACATGAGGGCACTTCCAGCTCCTACTGACCCTGGCTCACATTGACTTACATTAGAATATTGTCACCCGTTTCTCTGTAACTGCTTCATTGATCCTTGTTATTTTGATCTTTGTTCTTATTAACCCGCTCTACATGATCCTGGTGTTTTTATTTCGCTATTTTGTCCTTTAAAAAAGTTTTAGTGTTTGCAAGTATATGTTTGTTTACTCCAGATCACATTAATTAATTTGAGAACACAAACTCACCGTCGGCTTCAAGAACTTTGTCTCAGGCTTTGTCCTTCTTGTTCTAGTTAAAATTACTATACAGAATACACCACATGCAGTCTGAGCCCAGAGTAGTACCCCCTCTTTAAGGTTTCAGCTTGCTTTACACCAGAAGGTGACCTGCTCTCTGTGCTGTGTTGTCAGGGTGAACGTGGGCTGTGGAGCAGCAGAGGAGCGGGTCCTCCTCACAGGTCTACATGCTGTTGCTGATATATACTGTGAAAACTGTAAAACCACGCTGGGCTGGAAATATGTAAGTCACTTGTTATGACCACTGCAGTAACATTTAATTGAACCAACTTGTTTACAACCTGTAAGCCTATTACAAAAGGCCGCATGGTCATTCCCTAAATTGGTATCTAGATGATTATGGAAAAATAACTTGAACAAAGTCCCTGTTGCCAATGTGACGTGCACAGCTTTCATATTACATATGGCAAAGAAGCATACTCAACTAAAGACATGTAATGTATTTTGCTGTTATTTTGTGTAACCTAGGAGCACGCCTTTGAGAGTAGTCAAAAATACAAAGAGGGAAAGTTCATCATTGAGCTGGCTCACATGATCAAAGACAACGGATGGGAATGATGTCTCAGCAACACCTTGGACTGGAGAATGCTCAAATGTGGCCTCACTTGAGTCCTGATCTTTTTCCACCTTAATGTACATGCACACTGTCATCTCCATGAAGAGCAGAACCAGGTTAGTGCATCTGGTTACGTACATGTGTGCATATGCAGCTCTGCCACACCTAGGCCCACAGTTCGCTTTTTCGCTGTCAGTAATCATCTTAAGGTGGTTGTGTTAATGGCACACCAAATTTTTCACCCAACAAGATGTGCAGTTTTTACTTCCTTTCGAATTTTGGTGGATTTTAGTGGCTATCTCTTTTTCTACAAGAAGTCGTATTATATGGATCTTGTTTAGTTAACTGTAGCATGCTTCAGTTTACTAAAATCAAAATGAGCATTCAGGGATGTAAGGCAATTTCCCATATATGTAGCATCTTTTGTTATTATTTGAATTTTTTCTGCATTATGGCTCTCTCCAGCCTTTGTCAGGTTTCCGCAAACAGTGTGAGCCCTCGGCTCGTTCTTATGTTTGTCCAATAATGAAGAGTAAATGTATTCTGTTTGTGTCTGAAGAAACACGGATGACACATATATAAAACGCACATGTGTATTTCCAACTGCATATTATGCTCTGTACATCTTAAGTCATGTTCATATAGAATGTGTCAAACGTGCCTAGTTGGATACTAGAAAATTCTTTGTCATTTGTGGGTCAAGGGCATCTTTGACGTAAGAATGACTACACGTGAATATAAGGTACACTCTTTCATCACTGCTGAAGCTAATTCAGCTTTCTTTTTATGGAATAGTGTTCCCTTCTGCAAATGGATATCAAGCTCTTATTTTATCCTTCTATCCATAGGCCAATATTATTATTATTAGTAGTAGTAGTAGTAGTAGTAGTAGTAGTAGTAGTATTTTTTATTTTTTATTATAGTTCTGATATGAGAGATTTGTTTTTCTTTGAAAATGGAAAATACTAAATAAGAATACCACTGTAACCGCAAGTCTTTGCTTTTATTAACCCACATTTTACTTGTGGAAAACTGAATGTGAAGATCCACGCTTCCTCAAGCATCACAGAGAATTGAGTGCATATAGGGATAGCACAGCACTATCCATCCAAGCAGTGTCACCTGGACCCACTACACCTGTCTGTATTATACTCTTTGCATACAGCCTGCAGCCCAGATTAGGCTATAGCCCAGTGGAACTGAGGGCACATCAGTATTTTAGAATATAGGGCTGACATTCCCCAGAGCGGCTGTAGCTTTCTCCTGTGGGTGCACAGCACTCAACCAAAAAACATGAATATAGAAAAAATTTGTGTAAATCCTGGTCAGAAACAATCCATCAGATTGTGAAAGGTAGTGGATTAAATGTGAATTAAATGTGGATATAAATGGATATTTTCTTCTCTTGTGGCTGTAAACATTAAGCCATGTATGTTTTGTTCTTTTACTGTTATTGCCTGAGAATATTTTCTGGTTAGAATGAGTTATAGTAAGTGTAGGCTCTATAACTTGGACCTACACTTGCTTTAAATGATTTGAAAGGAACAAAAGGTGAAAATGCCCATCCATCCATTGTTTTCCACTTATCCGGGGCCAGGTCATGGAGGCAGCAGCCTAAGCAGGGACTCCCAGAATTCGTTCACCTCCCAGCTCCTCCGGGGGGGGGGACCCCAAGGCATTGTCAGGCCAGCTGAAAGACAGAGTCCCTCCAATGTGTCCTGAGTCTTCCCCAGGACCTCCTTCTGGTGGGACATCCCGGAACACCTCTCCAGGTACTGCTCCTCCACCTCGATGTGGAGGAGCAGCAGCTCTATTCTGAGCTCCATGTGGCTGAGCTCTTCACCCTATCTGTAAGGGAGTGCCAAGCCACTCTGCAGAGGAAACTCATTTCAGCCGCTTGATCTTGTCCTTTCAGTCATTACCCAAAACTCATTACCATAGGTAATGAGGGTAGGAACGTGGATTGACTGGTAAATTGTGAGCTTTTTCTTTCGGCTCAGCTCCCTCTTCACCACAATAGTTCAATACAGCGACCACTTCACTGCCGACACTGCACCGATCCACCTGTCAGTCTCACGCTCCATCCTCCCCTCACTCGTGAACAAGACCCTGAGATACTTGAACTCCTCCACTTGAGGCAGTGACTCTCCACCCACCTGGTGAGCGCAAGCCACCTTTTTCTCGTCAAGAATCATGACCTTGGATTTGGAGGAGCTGATCTTCATCCCAGCCACTTCACATTCGACTGCAAACTGCTCCAGTGCATGTTGCAGGTCCTGGTTTGATGGAACAGTATCATCTGCAAACAGCAGAGATGAGATCCTGTGGTCCCCAAACCAGACCCCCTCTGGCCTCTGACTGGGGCCCCTGACCAGAGCGGTCCTTGACTCTGGCCCCTGACTAGAAATTCTGTCCATAAATACAATGAACAGAACCAGTGACAAAGGGCAGCCTGGGCAGAGTCCAACATGCACTGAGAACAGGTCTGACTGCCTGCAATGAACATAGCTCCTGCTCCGGTCATACAGGGACTGGACAGCCTTTAGGAAAGGGCACTGGACCCAATACTCCCGGAGCACCCCCCACAGAGGGACATGGTCAAATCCCTTCTCCAGATCCACAAAGCACATGTCGACTGGTTGGGCAAACTCTCATGAACCTTCAATCACCCAATTGGAGGGTGTAGAGCTGGTCCAGTGTAGGGCATGTCCAGTGTTCCGCGGCTGGGATGAAAAGCACACAGCTCCTCCTGAATCCAAGGTTCAACTATTGGTCGAATTCTCCTCTCCAGTACCCAGGAGCAGCCCTTTCCAGGGAGGCTGAGGAGTGTGATTCCCCTGTAGTTGGCACCACCTTGGTCTGCCAGTCCAGAGGAACTGTAACGTGATGTTGCAGAGGCGTGTCAGCTAAGACGGCCCCATAACATCCAGAGACTTAAGATACTCAGGACAGATCTCAACCATCCCTGGGGCCTCGCCACCAAGGAGCTTGCCAACCACCTCAGTGACTTCAGTCAGGGTGATGAATGAGTCCGCCTTGGAGTCCCCAGCCTCGCTTTCTCTTCTAAAGATGTGATGGTGGGATTGAGGAGATCCTCAGAGTATTCCTTCCACCGTCTGACAACATCCCCATTCAAGGTCAGCAGCTCTCCCCCTGCACTGTAAACAGTGTTGGTGAAGAACTGCTTCCACCTCCTGAGGTGTTAAATGGCTTGCCAGAAATTCTTTGAGGTCAGGCTCCCCCAAGGCCTCCCCACACTCCTCCCAGTCACAGGATTTTGCCTCTGCGACTGCGCGGCCTGCAGCATATTTGGCCCGTTGGTACCTGTCAACTGCCTCAGGAGTCCCGCGAGCCAACAAAGCTCGATAGGACTCCTTTTTGCCACTGCAACAGGCACCAGGACTCTGTCAGATGTTCCCAAGAGACTCTCACTATACACTTGGGTCTGCCAGGTCTTTCTGGCTTCCTCCTCTGCCAGCGGACCCACCTCACCACCAGGTGGTGATCGGTTGACTACTCTGTGTGTGCCCAAGACATGCTGAAGGTCAGATGACACGATGACAAAGTCGATCATCAACCTCCAGCCTAAGGTGCCCTGGTGCCACATGAACTGATGGACACCCTTGCTTGAACATGGTGTTCATTATGGACAAGATGTGAATAGCACAGAAGTTCAGTAACAGAACACCACTCGGGTTCAGATCAGGGAGGCCATTCTTCCATTCGGGGGGGGTTATTAAACTTTTAGATTGAGACTTTTTCTTGCACATTGAGATGTTACAGCTCAGGGTTTCATAGACAAGTACTTTTTTTTTTGACATGTAGCAGTTCAGCTTGCACAGAATAATCCATTTTAAGTTCCAACAGAGTGAACACCTATTCTTTGTTCACCTGTTCTCGCATTATTTGCACCACCCCAGTGACACACGCCATAGTGTAGGTCACATGTCACATGTTTTTTTTTATCCCTTTTACATAGGGTTAGCACGTAAATCACATTAAGTTTGAATGTACTGTTAGAGGTAGAGGCAGTTCACTGCCACATTGTCGTGCCTTTTGGTTTATTTCAGTTTTGTGCCAAGATCTTCGAATTCTATTATCCTTCTCAGTACCATAGCTTCAAATTAGGCACAGTACACACAGCATGTAGAGCACCAAGTGCTTGCAGGGGCACCACATGAATCGTCACTAAACTATTGGCGTAGCATTTGGTGGTGCGGCCTACGGCACTTTAAGGGGTTGTTGTGGGCATCTCTAGAATTCTCCCCCAGTCCTCAGTTTCACTGGCACAAAATCATTTACTCCAGAATACACCAGTAAAAAGTGTGATCTCTTCTGGTATGATCAAGAGATGGCCATATACACAACATACCAGGACAGTAGCATGAATGGGGAATGTTTACAAAAGACATTCCTCCAGTCCATCCTTGTTTGATTGTAAAAAAAAAAAAACCCAACTAAATCCAGTTTCTGAATGATGATTCTGAATGCCTTCACACGGTTAGAATCCTATGCTTGTTTTGTTCTGTTTTCAGAAAATATTCAGATGGATTTCCCTTGTTTTCATCACAATAACAAAAAAGCAAAAGCTCTAAATAAATAATGATGCAAATGTCAGTTCTTCACCCAGTCTCTTTCAGCGTCTTTGAATTGAGGGTGGTTTTGCATAAATAAAATGCATTACATTTTGTTATGGAATTGTATAACTGAGCATAAAAAGTCAGTCAGATGTCAAACATAAGAATGTTACATATTTGAAGACTGGGAATCATTTTTGTAATGTAACTGTGTTAACATTTCTATGAGCTTGTCAAACTCACTGAACTTTTTCCAGTCTTCTGGTGGGCATGTGATGTGTATTTATTATTTCTCAGTCCTGTAGCGTGCCATCAGGGCTTCACTGCTCCTAGTTTTCAATTAGAGTTCACTCACTAATAGTGCTTTTACACTTGTATCCTATATTTCTGTGCTGGTCACTTGGTCATCTGCTTGGTGACAAACGTGTGCCCCACTCTTTTCTTGGTTTTATTTATATTGATCTAACAAAATTATTTGAAACACTGTGTTATTGGGATGTTATTTAAAAATAATAATAATAATAAAAATCCAAACTTTGTTATGTTAATTGGCCATTTGCACATTTAGATTCAAAACTATTAACTACACTTTTTTAATCATCCAGTTGTTCCAAATTATAAAGCACTGAAGCATTAAAATGTTTTTCTCTTTTTAATTTTTTAATTTATTATTATTATTATTTATTTTATTTTTTATTATTTTTTTGCATTTGGCAAAGGGGGTGACAGATTTTCCAAAAGTCATGATTTTGGCCTTCATCACCAACTGCATCCAGGCTCTGTTGAATGTCTTTATTGTCTTGTTGATATGGTTGTGTGCTGCTTCATGGAGGTCCATCTGACAAACAGTATATGGACAGAAGCCCTTCTCACTCTGAATACTGAACGCAGACTCGATGGGAATGCACATGCTGTATTTGCTGCTATAACTGTTCATTTAAAATCAAATCTTGATACAAACAGGTTCATGCATGTTGTACTTATTGTTTGTGTTCATTGTTCTTTATTAAATTTAAAGCCAACCTATTTTCCTGCAATGTTTGACAATATGTCAGTCTTAGTTGAATGGACTTGTCTGTTTTCACTTCAGTGTAAACAATAAATTGCTGCCCAAAAACACTTGTTGGCATTTAGTGTGACTTGGTTTAAGTGTTAATAACTAAAATGTATGACATGCAAGATTAATAGTGAATTTATCTAGAATCAAGTTTTGTTTCTGTACTATTCCTTTCCTGATCAAACAGTGGAGAACATGTTCTTTTGCTTACAAGCAAAAGCTTTAACTTGTATTTAAGGTGCCATTGGTGGTCATCTGGACACTTTTTGCAATCAAGACATTTTGGCTCTCATCCAGAATCCATTTTGATGGAACTGGTTTGAGAGCCAGGGATTTATATTAAACTGAGTTAAGCCCAACCCCAAACTGAGGAGTTATAGAGTGAAAATAACCAGCATCATTATGACCCTATTGTTATTTGTCAGTCTCACCTTCAGCACTGTTACCTACCTGAGCTACATTCAATGTAGTGAATGGAATTAGTACCAAGTGCACCAGCTCAGGTTAAAAGTGGCCGTGGCTGTGCCTGTACATGTTGCCAAGAAAAGTTCGGCTCACAATTAAGATGGAAGTGCAAAAGGAAAAGACAACTTTACAGAAGTGGAAATAATAAAATGACTACAATTAGACTTACTCATGGCAAAATTGAACAACCAAAACACCAACAAACAGAAGATAAACGCATGGAAACGAATAACTGGAGATCAACAATGATTGGTGGTGATTGGTGTCTGAACTAGTGACCCCCCTTCTCTCCCGACAGGTCAGAGGAGAGGACCTCCTAAGCTGTCATCCTACAGTGAATTAATTACTGATACCTTTGTTGGCTGTCCCAGCAGAGGTAGAGGGATGGGACGATGAGCTGACAAACAGTAACCCTTTTTTTTTTAATGTTTGACATTATAGAAGACAGAGAGGAGGAGAGCTCCACAACCCCAGTGATTTAGAACACCTCTATCCAAGAGGTAACACTGAAATGCAAAAAGGACATGGAGGAGCTCCAGAGAATCCTGTTGGAAAAGGAGATTTGCAAATTGAGCAAACTGGAAAAACTAACAAGGTGATAATGATGATGACGAAGACCTTCCAGAAAATGATGGTAAGACAGAGCTATTTACTTTAGCTATTTTAAACCAACAAACCACAGAAGGAACTCCCTTCTCTAAGGATCTTGAACTTGGCCCTGGTCTCCCAGAGCCCACAGCCACTTCTATCTGTCAATCTGAAGTGAAAATGGCAGAAACTGAACCCAGCTTAAAGCAAAAACATGCTTTGAAGCCAAACAGTGCATCTCAGGTAAGTTTAGAAAGTGAACTTCAAAATGACACTGCACTTGACAGCCAAACCAAACGGCCTTTTAAAAGATTTTTGTGCAAACTTACTTAAAAGGACCCAGCTCAGAAGCTTTACATGCCCACCATCCTTGACAATGAGCTCCGACAGGAAGCTATCCTTGACACCGCTGCAGACATCAGTGTAATGTCAAACATTCTTTTTGATCAATTGCAAAAAGCATTTCATGTAAAAGGACAAAAACTGAAATGTTCTCCATGCTTTCTTGAAGTCCAGCCATACGCTGACACTAGCACCGTCCTAACTAAAGTAGCTTTGATTCGCTTAACAGTTGGACCCATGACCGTGGTCCATCAATTGTATTTGTCTCCAATTGACTCGATTCCTCTCCTTATTGGTCAAGATCTTCTTAATCGATTTGATTGATTTAAAAAATCACACTTTCAGCAAAGGTGCAGAAACCTTTGCCGTTTAGACGGCAGACTTCTGAGTCCGTCTCAGCGGCATCTGTCCCAAAGCAGAGGTACCACAAACACAAAAACACAGGTTCTGACCTGACTCAGAACACTTCTTGGAGACCTCGAATAAACTTCTTGTGCAGGGACACAGCTCTATCTGAGCCAGAATGTCCACAAATGCACCCAGACAAGACTAAACATCACCATGTCTTACAAAATAATGAATTCAAAATTCATTGAAAGCTTTAACAAAGCAAAGTTCACTTATAACAGACCTTTTGAGGCTCATTCAGAACCCAAGCCCACCACGCCCGGTTCTGTTCGGCCCATTCCCACCCATCCCACCCTTTCTTCTTCTGCGGCCGCCACCTACCCCTCCTCCACCCTTTCTGAGGGTCGATCTTTATCAGCCCTGCCTCGGTCTGAGCACACTTTTGGCCTTTGTTCCCGCCCACGGGTCCTGCCGGCATTGCTTGATTTTGTTCTGGACACACTCACTTCACCTGCGCTCGTGCTCACTCCGAACCACAGGAGGGTAGCGCCTAAACCAGCCTATAAATCCTCTCTGTTGGGTCCCAAAGTCATTCAGACAAAAAGCCACACACGACATAAAGAAACCTGCTGTCTATATGCTGAGAAGCATGTGATAAAAGACATGAAATACAGGTTCACCTGTCACCAGTGTCAGTCACTGACAACAATCTGAACAACCTGCAAAAGCAGAGAAACCAAACACCTGCCAAAACTAAACCAGCACAACATGGTCATTCTACAGTTAACCAGGTGAGAGAAAACACCTGTCTCCAAAACCTGAAACAGACCAATTAGAGTCCCAAATGCTGGACTGACTTAGTGCTTAATAAGTGCTTGTGTAAATAAAGTTAAAATAAAATTAACTGTTAAGGGCCGTTCACACCAAAGCGTCAAAAAACGCCTTGACGCCTCTATTTGGACGCGTTTGCATTTGAGTTTAGACGCCCCCGACGCGCGTCTTTGACGCCGTGAACAAACGGGACAAAAATACTTGACGCGCGTCCGTTGCCCTGGAAACAAGAGCCCGGTCCCGGTCTTTTCCCGAAACAATGTCAGACCAGACTGAGAGAGTGTTTTTATGACATAAAACATCAGCGGAGGAGATCGGGTCGACGACTGGGGCGTATATATATTTATACTCCGCTAATGACACTGGATCAGTCCCGGTCTAGTCCTGGTCTAATACCGGTCTAGTCCTGGTCTAATCACGGTCTAGTCCCGGTCTAGTCTCGGTCTACTCCCGGTCTAGTCCTTGTTTAGTCCCGGTCTAGTCCTTGTTTAGTCCCGGTCGAGTCCTGGTTTAGTCCTGGTCCGGTCCTGGTATAGTCCTCGCGATCAGCTCGGTGATTGTGGCGTATATATTTATTCTCCGCTCATGTTTGTGGTTCTCGTTCTGGTTCTCGGGTCTTGCTTCCTGATAATAACGTCGCTGCGTCACTGGATACTCGTCCCTGATTGGTTGACGCAGCGCGTCTGACGCGAAAAGTTCAGCATTTTCAACTACTTGACGCTGACGCTTTGGACGCGCGTCTTGGCCGCTGACGCCAAACGCTCAAGCCGCGCCGCGTCGACGCCAGATTCGCGCCGCGCTGACGCCGAAAACGCGCCGTAAAAACGCAGGACGCTCTAGTCGCGCGTCCACATAGACTTTACATAGAAAGTGGACGCTTTGACGCTTTCGTCTGAACGGGCCTTTAGACTTCTGTGGTTTTGTAAATAAACTTAAAATTAGTTTATAATCGTGTCCTCAGGAAAAACTAGGACAGATCTCTAAACTCACCACCAGTCTTCAGTTCTGCTAACAGCAATTACTGAAGTAAACAATCCCTTCTTCAACCACAGGGGGGAGCCATTTTAACTTTTAATTTTAATCTTTCCTAACCTTGAGTGAATCTTTATGCATGCTTCTATCCTATTTACTGAGTTTTTTTTCCAATATGACTGCTTAAAATTAGTCAATAACCCGTAAATATTTAATGCTCAGGTATTGGCCAAGACGTTTTAATTTATTTTCTTTTTTTCTTTTTATTCAGGTCCATTTGGGCAAATGATTGTGTTGTGATGTAAATCTCAGGTTGATGCCTTCATTGCCTTAGTCTTCAGCAACAGAAGGGACTTTGCGGTTCAATGGACTGCCTCAGTAAAGATGTGTTATTGTGTTAACAGCATTTTTAAATGTAGGAATGTCAAATTTGATAAATTCATAATCTATTTCAGCAGTGCATAACCATGCCTTCTTACAGGCAACTTAGCTTAGTGCTAATAGCAGCATTAGCTTAGCAGTATCTTAGCATTAGCTTGGCATTAGCTTAGCCATACCCTCTTTAAAGAGTATGGCTAAGCTAACAAACATCACCATACAAATTTAAGACAAAATTTAAATTTGTAAACTTGTGTAATCTCTTTAGACTTATTGAACATTATTCTGCATACACATATTATCTTATAATCTAAGCACATTTAGGTTATTACTGCCACACAGTTAGCACACCCAAGCCAACTGTGACATTGGACCATGGACATCTTCACCGGTCAACGGACGTCAGCGCCAGGTCATGTCAGCCTCGTTCATCGGAGGAGACAGCCATGACACGGGGGATGTAGTGGTACTGACCTTTGACCTATGGAAGATGTGAAATCATGGCTGTTACCATGATACTGAATCTTAGGGAATACCTCAGATGAGGTTGACTTTGAGACACTCTACCCTTCCCCCACTTGCTTAAAGATCCCTATTTTGGACCTGACACCCAAGCAAGATATACTGACTTGTGTTCATGCACTCCCTGCATGATGTACCACACAAAGACCCTTTCAAAGATTAAAGATCGTTTTACAAACTAACTTTTCTATAAAGCTTCACCTATTGATAAATCAATTGACTGAAGTGAGTTCAGTGACTATAGTCAACAAATAAAAGACACTGAGATTTTTGTGGAACGATCTCTAAATCTCAAGACTTTCTCCAGAGAAAGCATATTAATGAAACAGTTGATTCATTCAATGAACTATTGCCAGTGTGTTTTAATACTGATTTGTAAATGTCATGTGAATACTTTCTTTGTGTAAAACTGTTAAGTTGTAATGTGAGAGCTATGTCGTGAAACCCCCCATGCAACTAACTCACATTCCATGTGAACACGCACCTCATTGGTCAGTGTTCCCGCTTATCATAAGATTTAAGAGGAGGAAGACAGACCTCAGCCAGTTTTGTTTGGACCTCCATTCAGATCTCAGTTCAGCAGAAGATCGCAGAAGCAGTTC